CGAGGTGTTGCGGGGGCAGTGGCTCCAGCCGGAGCCCAGGCCAGAGCTGCTGCTGCTGAGCTGGAGCGAACGCTGGCCCCACGCCCCAGGCTGGGACACGGCTGGAGCCTGCCAGGGGAGGAGGATGGCAGGGAGTGGGCAGGAGGGAGGGCAGCAAACGGGGGGTGGGGAGGTCGGGGTCAGGCGGTTTGACTCCCCCCTCCCCAGCACCTTCTTTCTTCCATTTGCTGATACATCTTATCTCATTTATAAAGTAAGTGATTTAGGATGGCTGCTGCTTGCCATTAACTATATACTGATTTTAGCTCGTTTCAAACTTCACTGTCTGCTCCATTGTTTAACATCTTGGAAACGAAGAGAGTCTGTCAAAATTGGGTACGAGTCAGTTGCCAGTTGTGTAGCCTAAAAAGTATCCCAAGGCTTCCTCATATCCCACCCTAGACACAGATAAAGTCATCATCTAAGCATCATAGCTACAAACTATACTGATACTGGTGACCAAGCCCAGGTAATTCAGATTTGGGTGCAGATCTGTGGCTTTGGAAATCTGAAAAGCCTCATTTTGCACTGATTCTGTTTTGCATTGGCTGGATACTCGGAAGGAATATGCGTCTTCCTTTCATGAGAGTTGCGAGATCATTTTTGTATTCTCTGAGCAAGAAATATTTGTGTGTATACAAATCCCTTCTAGGGCAGCCAAAATTGAAGTTGGGGAAATTAGTCCAATCTGTGTTATGAAATCAGAGGTGTTTGACATCATTTCTGAAATGGGAATTTATATAGAGATAATCCCCACTAATAGTCTAACATGACTGTTGGCTGAGGGACTGAAATAACCATTGGCACTCTTGTACTCACCAGGCCAGTTCCTTGAGGGCTTATGAATTCTGTCCATAAACAAGTCTCAGACTGAGTAGTTTGACTTAGGACTTGGATTTGTACTCATCTCTGCTTCTAAATTTAAAATTGATTCCAAATTTGTTCAGAGATCTTCCCCTTGCCTTCAGTGTTAAACGATGTTTCTCAAACTTTCTGGTTTGAAGCCAGAAGATTTTTTTTTTAGTAAATTCCAAGAATTCCCACCAAATTTCTAAATAAACATCTCATTTCTTCTCCCCGGCAGAACATTGACTTGATAGGACAACTTTTCTGTTACTAAAACTACCCGGACACTTTGAAACCAGTCAGTGGTTTTAGGGGGTGTCATTTCTCTTCCAGGCTTTTGCAGCTGTAATTCTTGCAGCCACTAGAAGACAAGTGATCAATTCCTCATGACTCTGATATGTTATGATATGAGTCCTCAGAAAGGTACCTAGTAGCTGGCCTCCTGTTATTTCCCTTGCCATATCTCCAACCTTCTTCCAGAACAGTTTGATTCTGGGATACGTGCACCACATGTGGTAGAATCCTCTTAACTGACTGTACTGCCTCCTATGCTAGCCTGTTACTGTACTGTAAAGACTTTTTTAATTTTAAGTGAGGTGAGATGATATTGATATAAGATTTTAAAATCATTTTCTTTTATTGTAGTAAAAATGGATGTGTGAGGACCATTGTTCCAGATGGTATCCCATGGTTCAGTACTAATTTCTGATCCAGTGTCAATATCCCACTTCGTCATAAACAGTGCTTTTACTTATATGGGTATTTAAAATTATTTTGTATAAGAGAATAGGCCTATGTATTTCATAGTTGTGATCAGTATTTTTCCAAATTCCATCAAATTTCTACTGAAGTTTACCTTTCTTTGGGCATGTGCTGAAAAGTCTCTAAATTGCAGGCATTGGAAAAATGGGATTTTAATGTCACCTGCTATACATTGTATTTCTTCAAAAGATATATTTTCTTTGAATACGTCAGAATTTACAATACCAATATGTTCCCAGTTATTAAAGATTCCTATTAATATATAGGATTAAATTCAGTATTGTTAAGTGCAGGTGCTGAAGGTGAAAGTTATGAGATGAATTCCTTATATGTGTTATCCCAGTTTTTCACCTAGCATGGTGTTTTAACCACCATGCTACAGGTTAGATATTATCAAGGCCTTTCTCCTTCCACTCCATTTGAAACTGAGGCACCATCCAATTGCATCTATCAGTCAATGGATAGAATGGATGGGCAAGTTTCTTTCCCCTGGGAGGAAGGGTTCAACCTAGAACCCAGGGCCCTCTCCCATTCAGGGTAGCATCAACTTCGCTGAGCCACACACTCCCAATCTTGGGCTCTTTCTCTTGGACCCATATATCGCCTTTTTTGGAGAACCAGCTTCAAAAGGAGGTTAGAGAGGGGACTGAATAACAGTTTGGATGTCAGACTACACACAGGCTATGCATGTTCTGAAGGAGCAATCTCAATATTACTTGCAAGTGTGCTTTTTCAGTTGTGCATTAGAGAGATTTATCTAAAGCCAGGGACAATCCAGAATAGCATGGCTATATACAGGGGTCAGTAATGCCTAGCAATTCTTATGTTCTGGAACATGGACAGTATTCTTGTTGATGTCTTGCCTAAGGGACCCATGGTAAACTCAGAGGTCTGTGTCAAGACCATGAAGAAACTGAAACTTTGCATGTAAAGAGACTATCCTGAGGTGCTGCTTCTACACAGCAATGCTGGCCCATATACCATCTTGCTCACCATAGAGGCAGTCTCATCATTTAGATAGGTGGCACCACCTCATCATACAGTTTGGACCAAGAGACTCTGAGGGTGAAAGTTTTGGGGCAACAGTGAAACAATGGAGACTGACACTGGCTGTGTAACAAGGACTTTTACAATGTTGGGATACATGGCCTCATTCACCGATGGGAAAAGGTCATTAATGAGGAAGGAGATATGTTGAAAAATAGCGATGTTCAGCAGTGCTGTACATGTTTTCCATGCAAGTTTAATATTTTTTCAATAATATCTGGTTGAGAAAAAAAAATAGGAGGCATTACTCTCTGACTGACTCTTGTATTCAACTTGATTTTCCATATGTCTATTACCCTAGATTCCCTACTGATGTGGAGACCAAAAGAAAGTGGGTGCTGGCAGTGAAGAGGCCAGGCATTTGGGAGCCTAAGAAAGCAGATGTGCTATGTTCACGCCATTTCAAGAAATCTGACTTTGATACAAGAGGTCCCAACATCAAACTTAAGCCTGGAGTTGTACCTTCTATTTTTGAATTTCCTTCTCTCTTACAGGTAGGTCTGTCTTCGCAATCCAGATATAGTGTTTCACTTACCCTGCTGTTTCAGCAAGCACTGACAGGCATTTTCCCCATGATTTACATAAAACTCAGATGATGTTTCCTCTGTCTAGATTATCATTGTGTGTCAGGAGGAGAAAGGGTGAAGAAATATCAGCATCCATTTAGGCTTATTCCTTCTTCCTTTATTCAAGCAGAATTTCTATTGACTCCATTTCAGTAAGAGTTTTGCCTGAATTACAAGAGTGTAGGATCATGTCTTTGAAAGCAATGACAACTAGGGATCCAAATAAGAAACAGACAAGTACCTTATAAAAAAAAAAAGAAGGTGAGAAAAAAAGGTGAAGCTGATCACTTCAATTCCAGCTAAATACAAGTCAGGGACTGTCTTTGCTTAGTATACTGAGGGCCTTGTTTGGGCACAACTGCAATACAGACCAGAATTAAATAACATACAAATAAGTGAGAGCCAGGAAACCACACTTATAGATGGGGCTCAGTAAAATTTCCCACCCCCAAAGAGACCAAGATGTCATTACCAGACGTGTCCTGGTGAATGAATGCTTTAACTGAATGAATGCTTTAAGGCCTGTTGATTCATTGTGAGACTTGTTCCTCACTGCTTCCTTCCCTTCATGGACATGTTGCAGTCCCTTAGCTTGCAAAATCCCAAATTCTCTGTGATACAACTTTCTCAGTCACTTAGATCTGACATATATATTTCTCACAGAGTAAAGGTGAAAGAGGTCATGGCAGAAGACATTCTCCCCTGAAAACTTTGCCGGTGACGATTCACAACCACCAGCTTGTGGATGCTGCTTCTTGTACAGGGGGATTTCAATCTCAGCTTGTGTTGGTAGGTAAAATGACTTGTTTGAATCAGCCAAGTAGGGAAGTCTTTGAAGACAGCAGATTGTGCTAACTGCTGAAGTAACTCCAAGGACTTGGAAGCTCCTAGCCCAACAGTGCATTTTGACTAGTGCCTTTGTTTTTATTTTTATTGTGGTAACAGATGTTCTGCCTCCATTTTATTTTTTGCTAGAAAGGAGGGTCTTTAAAGGTTGTTCCAGTGTTCGGGATGTGATTCAGTAGCTATCAGGCAAGCAGCACTCACCGCTGTTTTCTTTGTGAAATAAGTAGTGGATTGGCTTTCTAATCATATTTAACTCTTCTAACCGTTGACTAATAATTGTTTTTTAATGCAGAGGAAAGCCTGGAAGATTGATTTAACAAAGCATAAAGTCTGAAAAAAAGCCCATAACCAATTAGCAAGATACAACACAAAATGTGTACCTTAGCACATTTTTGGTCTGCAGTGTTGCTGCAGTAATTACATTGGAGTAAATTGAACAGTTTGTTTTACACACCTTTATTTATACTAGTTTGTTTACAACATATAAACCATATAGATTTAGTTAAGTCCCATCTACTTATTTTAAAAGCAGAAATGCTAAAATATCAAAAAGTGCCAGATACACAAATTATTACTGGCATTTGTTTACCAGTTTTGAAAGGTGCTAACATAAAAGTGCAAAATGTGTGCATTCTTTATGGCTGGCATAAAGGGGGAGAAAACCCCTTACCAAACAAGTGTTAAAACTACATTCCAAACTTAAAGGTTATAAAAGTCTAGCTAAACGTCTTAATATAAATGCTTGAGCATCATGAGAGATAGGTTTAGTATAACACAAAAAAGATCTTTATTTTTCTAACCATACAAGTTAAAATAGATACCTAAACATGTATTGTTAACTGGATCAGAACAACCTAAGAATAAGCAGCACTACCTAAACTTGCTAAGTATAAAAATGTGTGCAAGTGAATTGGGAAAAGATGACAGTGTCTAAAATGCTCTTTAATTTTCTTTCCAGGAGCACAGTTACAGCATAATGGACAGTCCAAAGAAACTGAAATGTAAATTAGATCAGGTAATCAGTGAGCTTGAAGATGCCAAGGAGAGTCTGAGGACTGCTTTAGACAGGGATCAACAACGCAGAGAATCACTGAAGGCAGTGATCAAAGACCTGGAAGATAAAGGTGTAATCAGCCCTGATGTAGCCTGTAAACTGGACACTTATTGCTGGGAGTGGTATAAGGAGGGCATTCAGGAGAAGACTGTCTGCGGAATTAACTGAATAGCCATAACCTTTTCTCAGGCTCAGTGTTCATTGTTAGACTATTTTAGACAGAGCATCATCAACCTGCAGTGAAGAGGATCAAGTAGATCTCTGAAGTAGCCAAAAGTTTGTCCAAAGATACCATCTGTACAAGATTCTCACTCCTGTGTCACAGCTGCCTTACCCAAGATATGAGGAGCTCCTCTGCCTCATGGCATTTTGGTCTCTGAAATTTGCTTTAATGGCCATGAGGTTGTGCGTGTAAAACACAATGTAATTTCCAAACAATTCTTGGGTTAGAGTGGAAAGCTCCACTGCTAGGTTCGTTGACACGTTAAGGCACCTTGAGTTTAGATTTGATAGTTTGGAAAAATAATAATGCCCTAATGCTATAAATCAAGTTTAACAGGAGGGTACTGCAAGCCATTGATTTTGAGTTTAGAAGGGAAGAGGGCATATTTAATGAGCACCTTATGGCAAGAAGTCCAGCATCCTCCTATTGGTGTAAGTAGGAAAAAGGGGGAAAGATTGGGCGTGCTTGTTCTTACAGAATAGAAGAGTGTAAAGCTAGCTAAAAGAAAAAGGCATAGCATGCTTGGTGGAGAAGACACTAAATAGTTTTGCAGTTTCAGCTTCTGTAGCAAATAATTTGCAGTCCAAAATCGGAGTAAATGCAAGGGTAGGAGTCACTGTTTTACAGAGTAAGCCTTTTATTGCTTTCAGCTGTACAAAGTACATGCATTACACATTAACAGTGCTAGTGTCTTTCCTCCTGTACTAGTTTAGTTTTGACTTTCTAGGTTTATACCCTAGGCCATTTAGAATCTTTTATTCTTAAGAGGTAAGTGAAAACTTCCTTTAAATGGAGAGCAGGAAGAGAGATGAAAATGCCTTGTGGCTTTCTCAAATTTTTTTCAAACAAAAGTGTTTTATTTAATCCAGAAGATACCTTTCTATGTTTGTAATACAGTGATCTATTTATTATGATATCGAGGGACAGTAAAACAGTGGAAAGATATTCTTATGGGGGGACTTGGGTTTTTCTCTTATCATCATCACACACCACATTGCCTTACAGTATTAAAACCATCTACAGTATTAGAACTAGATCATATATACCTGGCATGGATCCTTCAGACACCTATCTACCTACTCTGCATAGCAGCTATGGGCTGAGGTTCATACTGGAGTCCCAGACCTCAGGCTTTCACTCCCTGCATGGCTAAACAGAACAGCCAGGGCATCAAACTGACCTTTATTTTGTTGAGCCACTCAACAACATAGATGAGTTTGGAAGGTTTTAACTGAAAAAGAAAGGGGCAGAAAGGAGAGGAGAGCTCTGAGCCCTTGCAATTTCTTTCAGAAGGCTTCACAACAGCTGGCCTGGAGTTGAAAACACTAAATATTCCCTTTGCTTCATGGCACTCCTTGTTCCTGTCACGACCCAGTGATTTTGGTGCCTCGGCACTATGGAATTTCCTGGCCACATGAGAGCTCCTTTGCACGGCAGACTGTTCTGCTGCAATTGAGAACCCGCGTGTAGGAGAGAGTTCCCGCCAATTTGCAGTCTCCTTTGCAGGATGCATTTCTTCTTTGCAGCACAGAAATGCAAGGTGCAAAGAGTTCCTGCCATTCGAATGTAAATTTGTGCTCCGCTATTGGCCAGTGCTAAATTATTCACACGTGGCAGCTAGTAATTGGCTCGCTGGCCGTTTAAAATTCCGTGCGACTTCTGCCCAAGTCGAAGAGCTTTGAGCACGCTGCAGAGTGCCTCTGAAGTTACCTGACTTGCGGCTGCCGATCGATAGACTGATCACCTATCGATCTTTCTTCCTGTCACCGAGCGCAACCCCAGACGTACCCCTTTCCCCGCCGGCTTTGAATTGCGGACGGATTAATGGCTTGGGCCCCGCCAGCTGGAACAACTCGTGTGGTTGTTCAGACGACTGGACCACCTGCGTCGTGATTGCAAGCAGCGTGAGTAAAGTTTTTTGCAACCAATAAGTTGTGTCTGCCTCTCCATTCACCAGCCCGCCCTGATGTACGAG